TGTGCAGCAATTGGCAATTGATAGCTTTTTAAAGAAATATATTATAAAATTTGTGACAATATGATACAGACACAACTGGCAGTGTGCCGCAGCAGATGATCAAAAAAAGAGTTTTTAAATGCGCATTTAAGTGGAAACACAGTGGATCTGTAGCTTTTAGCTACTTCTATTGCCCATATTTGCTAACCATTTTCCACTGTACTTTCCTCAGATATGAACTTTAATGCGATCATAGGTGATACAACTGTTAGATATGCCTGCAATTTTTATTTGGTACAAGAATGAGAAATCCACAAGATATGTTGTTGGTAGGCACTGCAATTTAATCTAAGATTTTTCAGAAATCTATATCCTCAAAACTAATAGCTAAATCTGCTCTGTGCTCTAACTCCTTGCAATGCAAAGTGTCGCCTGTAGTTTAGCCACATCTGCATCACCAGAGAGGTGCTGGTCTAGCTCACAATGTCTGAGTCAGTTTGGATCATGGAGCTACACTTATATGATCCATAAACCTTATTTTTAATCTTCCCTTCTTCAAGTTATCCAGGTACTTTTGAATCGAAGCCAAAAAAATAAAAATCACACCTGACAATCCTTTTCAGAAACATTTTCATTGTCCCAAGAGAGGGAATATGAAGTTCCAAATGCTGCATGTGAAAAAGTGGGAAAAAAACCACACACTTGGTTCCATGTGTTAGAAAGGACTGATTTCTGTAAAGTGAAGAACTGTAAGTTACCAACAGCATTACACAGGAATAAGCTGAGGAAACTGAGCTTTATGAAGACCAATAATTCTCACCAAACACTGCTCAGTCCCTCTCCATCCCATAAGGCGCCCTTGATGCTGCAAGAGCTCCACCCCAGAAAACGGAAGGGCAGCCAGCAGCGAGGTGGAGATTCACATGCTGCTCGTCCCTGCGGTCATGGAATTTACAGAAAGCTGCTCAAGCATGGCCAAGTCATGAATGGAATTCAATCTAACCTGAAAGTCCCCGAAGCCCTTATATTCCCCAAGTAATTACAAAAAGCATGCTAGTGACTGCTTTTAATACCTACTAATCAGGGGGAAGTACTCCTTTTTTTTTTTTTTTTTTTTTTTTTT